CTTCATGAGCACAAACAAACGGACCAAACAGCCATTCTGCAGGGAGAAGTGGGAGGGAGGGTTGGTGGTGGGGTTAGCAAAAAAAAAAAAAGACCCTCAAAAACAGGGAGAGATAAAGAGGAAGAGAGGAGTATGGAGGGTGTGTGTGTGTGTGTGTGTGTGGGGGGGGGCAGGGGGGCAGGAAGGCAAGCAGACGGAGCTGAAAAACCAAAGTGACTCCACTACCGATAATGAGCGGATCATTTAAAAAGCCCTCCTCAAATTGCCTTGAGGAGGAGAGGAAAGAGGAAAGGGCTTGAAAGGTTTAGAGAGATTTTGAGATTTTGGGTGCTGGACGAAGAAGTGGAGGTGGAGGGGCAGGGAAGGTAAGAAACAGTTTTGGGCAGTCAGGTGAACACACTGTATAATCATATATGCAGCCTATACACTGAAACGTGCGGCTCACTTCATTTCAGAGATTGACAACCTGAGCTCACCATGCACACAGCATCTGTATCTGACTGAGGAATACTGTGATGTACAGTTTTGGGCTTTTTTTAAATACCTCTTTAAAACCATCAAAACAAAAAGTGGTTTAGAATATGGCTAAATGAAAGACAAGGCTCTTATTTTTTTGCTTTAAGCCCTTCAAATTATAATCAGTTTCTCCTGGGTTAAATTGCTCAAGGCAGCCACCTATAAATGAAGTCTGAATTATTTAACATAAACCATAAAAAAAAACAATTGCATGGAAATTGAGTAGTGAAATTAAAGCGAAGCAAATAAAATACCAAGGCTTCACAAAAACAATCATTCCATTTGGCCACACCAAATTAAATGACACTTTTTAGTGACCTTGTACTTGCATTAAACAAAACAAAATGAAGAGATTTCAAGACTTTTTGGAGAACTGCAGAAACTGCGGCACAAAAAAAACCCACTAAAGTCAAAATGATGGAGAGCATGTTACTGATTCGCAGTAAGTTTGTATGCGTGATACGTCTGCATGTGTGTTTGTGTGTTGTTTTGGTGTGCAATGTTGAAGTGGGAACAAGCCTAAGGGTCAGGGGAATCCAGTTAGCTGGCAGGAGATTATTGACAAAGCATAACACGACACAGCATGGCATGAGTGTACCTGAGCCCATGAGTAAGATTTGTTTTGTGATGAATTTGCATTGATATGAACTGAAGCATGTTGATGTCAAACCAACAGCCATAGATACAACCTTACAATAAGTTGTCATCTGACTCTGCAGTTATCATCTGCACCTTTGAGCTAAGTGGAAAAGAAAGAACTTTGAGTTGTCTTTCAGCTCTGTATTATGGTTGGAAGAACCCCAATTTTTAGTTTTGGTTCACTAATGTTGCTGTTTTGTGTAAAGCCATCCAAACAGCAGGGACAGAGGGTGGGCGGCAGTAGCTCAGTCTGTAGGGACTTGGGTTGGGAATTGGAGGATCGCCGGTTTAAGTCCCAGCACGGAAACAATTCCGGAAATTGGTCTTGTGCCAGTCCACTGCCGAGGTGCCCTTGAGCAAGGCACCGAACCCCAAAAACTGCTCTGGAGTGCTCGCTGTGGGCAGCCCCCTCACTCTGAGACCCCTCCATTAATGCATGTTCATAGGATCCTGTTTGTGCATGTGTGTGTTCATGTTCATTAAACTGAGTGTAAAACTGAATTTCCCCTCGCAGGATTAATAAAGGATAAATTATTATTATTATTATTAATTAAACCACACAGTCCACAGACAAAGTTAAACATTTTTGTCATCAAAGACCCAGATATCTCACTCAGAAGTTGATAGAGAACAAAACTCAGTTAAAAGTAGGTTGGATTTTAGACTTAAGGTGGTATCACACTAGGGACCCTGGCCCAGATCCGAGTACACCTTACCACAGCACAAAGTCCTGCTCATTTGATCAGTGTGAACACAAACGTCCTGCACTCCTACTGTGCAAAACAACTCTGCGCATATTGCCACCTGCTGTATCCTTCTGTGTACAAATGCAAGTGTAAGTCGGGTTGTAGAAGTAATTAAAAATTTGAACACACACCTACGGGTGGGGGGGGGCAATCGTGCTCAACACGGTAGGACACAACCGTGCCTAATGAGAAAACGCCCTTAGAATAATAGACGCAAAGCCAGAACTGTGACTCCACATGAAGCTTGTTCTGTGTGGCCTGGAAGAATAAATGGGACAGTGTTTGGTTAAATATTCAACATATTAACTTTATCAGATAACATTACCCTGTTGTTGAGTTCAAAGCTTATTCTAAAGACTGAAATTTGCCAACAGAATACATTGTAATAGTTGGGACTACACGTGAATTGATACACAGCAAGCAAGACATCTTCATTCTTTCACAGCACATTTATATCATTTAGGGAGGCATTTTGAGACACCAATTTGACAAACACAATGTACGAAGGTCATATTGAAATACAAACAAATAGAAACAAGTCGGCATTGAAGTTTTCATAATAATGGACGTTTGCAGACTTTGAGCGATCGCTGCCTCTGAAGTAACTCACAGAACACTCCATAGTCCATTTAAATGGACTATGCTGAATCAAATATTGAATCTCATTCATTAAAACAAATCATTTGTCGTCACTCATCATCAATCTCTCACTTCCTTTCAGTTTTTGCTCTCCTTCCCTTTCTCACTCTGTTTCTTTCTTTCTCCTCCTCTCTCTGTGCTTGCCTCCCTCCCTCCCTATCCCTCTTCCTCCACTCTCCATCTCGACACAGTGCACTGAGCCTAATCGTGGATAATTGGGTGGGAGGGGCAGTGGGCTGGCCCTGCCTTTGTGTGCAAAGGGCAAGTGGTCAAGTTAATGGGGCTCTTGTGTCGAGCCAGGAGCACTCTGTCTCTCTCTTTCTCTCTGTTCGATCACTCACTCGGCCAGTCAATCTCAGCCTCTCAGTCAGCTTCTCTTTCTCTTTCACGGCTGAAGCTTTTTCCCCGCTGTTTCGATCTAGTTTCCCCTCATTTCCAGCTGTCTCACTTCCCCTTTCCTCTAAGCCATTAAGTGGGTCTCGTTCCATTTCTTTTCTCCTCTCCTCCTTCTGGTCTTTTTCAGCCCCTCTCTCTCTTTTTCAACTCTGTCTGCAGCTTTTTTGTCTCTATCTCTTCTACCATAGCAGAGAGTGTTTGGGAGGAGAAAACAGACCTCTTTAAAATATCAAAAGACAGATCAGGAGGCCTGGTCGGTCCCTGCCTTTCTACTGAATCTCCCTCCTCCTCCTCCTCCTCCTCCTCACCACTGATAAACAGAAGAGTGAGCCTGCAGGATTAGCTGCTGTGTACTGCATCTCCTCCCTCCTTTATCCCTCTGTTTTCCTCCTGTGGAGGCTAAGACTGTTGACTGGGCTTGATATGTGTGTGTGTGTGTGTGTGTGTGTGTGTGTGTGTGTGTGTGTGTTGCCTTGTCTGGCACCAGCTTATCCTGCAGGAGGCCATTGTGTTAGAATCACAGGCCACAGCCATCCGGGCCCTGAATTAAACTTCATAGCATCTGTGAACATTTAACACTAGATATTTAATGTTGGAACACAAACATAAGAAACAAGAAACTTTTACAACCAGCAATCTATAATAAATATGTATTCAGAAAATATTAAATAAATAAATACAGTACAGAGAGTGTATAGATATCTGAAAAGTTACAGCGTATAAAGTAACAGCTGAATGTTTGGCAGCACTTTGAGTCCAAGACAAATTTTCCCTAGGGGACAATGGAAGTGCTAAGTTGCCAACTTGGAACTGCTAAGCTTAGAAAGTGCATTTTGTAATAATTATGTAATTATGGCATTTTTAAACAAGGTTTTATTAATTACAACAATGCTATTGCGTAAGGCTAATGTGTAAAATTGTGATTTGTACATTTAAAAGGCACTATCTTAAAGGATAAAGAAATCCAAAGTCCCACATTTCTTGATGAAAATGTATTTATTTTATTCATTCACAAAACCACCCTTGGACTGCAAAGTACAACAATCAACCATTAAAGCGGAGAAAACTTAATAACTGATTAATGAAACTCAATATTTAAAGACATGTCCCCCAAAACTGAATACACTGGAATTCTTTAAAGACTATTTCAATAGTTTCATGTTCCTTATGTCAAACCCAAAAACATACACAAAAAAACGTTTCAAGCAATTATAATAGACCATGCGAACAAACAGCACAGCTTTAGCCAGAACACAGGATAATTGTAAATAATTATGATTCTTCCCAAAGTGAGACGATTTTTAACATTCTGTCAGTCATGGTCAAAAAATGATCTCAGTGTGGGAAGAAGGCCTCAAACTGAGTAAACAGATCACGTTTGAATCTGACCCAGAGTAGGATGAACTTAAGCAAATGTGCAACAGTTCTAAAAATAAGTTGATTGAAATAAAAGCTAAGCTGAAAGCTCACACACCACACACTGAGGTTTATCTGTATGATGTTTGCTGAAGGTAAATCTCAGACCCTCCAGTGTGGATTTTTATATGCAGACTGTTTCTGAATAATACTGACAATCAGTGGTTTGCTGACTGTCTGTTTCCGTCACAGTGAGAAGCGGTAAGTATCTAAACACACAGCACTAATATCACAAAATAGAAGTGACTGCACCACAATGTAAAGACACGGCGGAGTTTCGGGCACAAAGTGGAGATTTTGTCATGAACAGAGAGAAGCATCAATGCAGAGCAGATTTCAACATAAACAATGCTGCCTGATACCAAACTGTTGTGACGTGACATCACTTTTAATGGTGGTGATGTCACATCATACAGTGATGAAGTCACAGATCACAGTCACGGTCAGGATGGTATTTTTTTTTTGCTAGCTCACAGATATCCCAGATTTACAGCAAACGGGTAAAAATGAAATTAAATACACTTCTAAACCTTTGCAATGTGAAGGTTTTTACACTTCAATGCAAGTGTTGAGAACGTTGAGACCACTAAATAAAAACCAAACTTATTCACTTTTGTGCCAGTTACACATACAGTAGGAAATATCTTCTTTTTTTTTTGTTACTATTTTTTTTAACATGAGGAATGTGCAGTAAATAGCAGCCAGTGAGAGACACTGCAAAGCTTCTAGGCTGAAGTAATAGGTATTTATCACAGTGAAATATGGAAACACTTGACTGGTACAAGCACAATTTGAGGCTCGATAGACCTTGTGACACTTGATGTTTCTTTAAAACCACGAGAAACTGGAAATATATAAATGTGTGTGGAAACACCTGAGTGACAAAGTCATTTTAGCTGATTTCTAAAAAAAGCCAGCCAAGAAGCAAATGGTCCATGAAAAAGTCCGGCATGTGAGGAAGTTTTTGCTATCAAGATTGTGAAGAGACTGGGTAGCATTCAAGAACTCAAAAGTTTTAAATAATATTGTACACACGTCTACTGGATGTGCCTGTGTAATACTAGTGTTTTAAAGATTATTATTATTAACATTGTTTCAAGATGTTCAGCCGGCCTGTTCTGTTTTTGACTTGCATACTAACACACAGATGCAGCTCATATTTGAAAATTACAGTAGCAGACATTTAATCTTCACTTATAGTTAGTGAGCACAGCATGCCATCTTTGTCTGTGTGTGTTTTCAGTATCTGTAAAGAATATTATCAAAAAACCATAACACGTCTTCTGCTTCAGAGAAGAGCGCTGATACAAGAAAAAAACAATGTTGGTAATACTTAAAGACTTATCAAACAAATGCACCTTTCATTTTTTTTTTCTTTTCTGCTGATAAACAATATTCCTTTACAGACATTCTGAAGTGAATATCGCACTTTAAGATGAGAGCAGCTCGGGCAAAAATAGACACAGTATGCATGAACTTTGGACAAGAAGCTGCGGTCAAGGCAAGAAAGGGAGCAGATTGTCAGCGAACCAGTGGTCATTGTGGGTAAGAGACCATTAAGAGGAAGAAAACAATGAAAAGATGAAAGAGATCAGCTCTTTTTAAAAATCTATTCCACAGTATTTGGGTCACTTGTCAAAAAATGTGAGCAGTAGGACTCATAAAACGATATGTGCATGTGTTCAAGCGGGGACATTTTACAAGCCTTTAGCTGCCACAGACTCTGACTGTTGACTCTGACCCATCAGGCAACTCGAGACATCGCTTCTGTTAGCAAATATGTTTGATATTCAGCGGACACAGTGGAACATGTTCGTTAAGGAAAGAGTAAGAAAGAACAGTGTCAAACTCCATTAATCAGTGTATTATTAAATTACAGTGTGATGTATCAAACTACTTGTATCCATGGTGACATTGCTGCAAACTCTGCAAGCTTGTAGCTCCTGTGCAGCAACATTCGGTCCACAGTCTGAACATGCTGTAATATGTTAATGCTCTGTTGTAAGTAAAGCACAAAAGAAGTCCTTTAATACTGACCTCTGGCTGCGATGAATGAGTTGTATAGAAGGAAAAAATTAGCGCTGTGTGGAAGGGAACAAAGAGAAATAAAGGAAACACAAAGGAGAGTGTGAGCGGCTCCACGGTGTGTGACAGTTATTGAATCAGAGCTGGCCTCCATGCTGGGGCCAGAAACACAGAGGCAGAGGTTAATACTGACTGGTTAATGACTGAATTCCTGACACCTACGGGAGGAATGACTCAGGAAATGTCCATTAAATAACTGAAATAGTGACTGGCTTGTTGGCTCGAGTGATGGTGGGTAATAGACTGAGGTGATTGATAAGCTGACTGGCTGAATACCTGACCAGCTGGCAAGGTGATGTTTGGCAGCGTGCTTCACTTTCCTGCATGGCTGATTAAAGCAGAGATTAAGTGTTTAGGCAACCACTTCAGAGACTGGCCAACTGATTAAAGGGCAAACTGACCTAGTGATCATTCAAGAGTCTGACTTGAATTGTTTGGCAAATAAAAGATGGTTAAAACGGAGGTCAGAATTGATCTGCTTCTTCTTCTCCTACTCCTCACCTGCAGTTAAAGTTTCCCCCTCTGCTGCCCTTCCTTTGGTTGTGCCTCACCAAAACTCCAAAATACAAAACATGCACGCTCAAATACTCTTCAAATCCATGCACACTCTGAAAATAAGCATCAATGTGGGGAAAACTACCTCAAATATCCCCACAACTGGATTTACAGATCAAACTAAACATTGTGGATTGAATTGTTCACATAACCTCATTCCACCTAAAATATCAAACAGCATGTGGAGAGGTGCTCTGAGGAGCTGTGGGCTCACTTGTTTTGGTTCAGTGAGTGAGGCTGACAGGTCGAGGTCCTTTGGTCAGGGTGATGAGAAGAGGGTAGTGGATGTTCTCGTCATACGCTTCTTTTCCTTCACTTAGCATCTGAAACAAACACAACCACGCAGACTCAATTGTTTATTCAATGTTTCAGTTTAGAGCATCACAGTTGACTTGTTGTTTAGGGGATTAAAGATGCTGACCATGGTTTAGGTCCTCTGTACTTCAAATATTTTCATTGAAAGTTTTTGGTATTTTAATGCTGAGATATACAGTACAATATTGGTCTGTCAACTTTTAATTGAAAACCCTGCGATGATCATTTTTTAATGAGCGATTAGATCAAGATTATGTCTATTAACAGCATTTAATGGAGCTCAGATGCTTAGAGTAGAGTCGGTCTTCTGTCAACTGAAAGGTCGGGGGTTCAATCACCAGCTCCTGCAGACACATGTGCGATGTGTCCTTGGGCAAGACACTTACCTGCTGCTTCGTTGGCCTTATATGGATGTTTATGAATGCATTAGTAAATACTGATGGACACTTTACAAAGCAGCCAGGGTGTGAATAGGTGTGACCTGCAGTGTAAAAAGAACTTTTGGTAATCAGAAGGCTAAAAGTGCTATACAAGCTCAAGTCATTTCACCACTCAAAATTTACCAGCAACAGTTATATAATTGATAAAAAGAAATGACAACCAAAATGATTTTTTGGAGCTTTAACATGCATGTGGAGAGCTAGCATGAAATAATAACAGTGCATAACTCTGTAGAAGAGTTATGTTGGTCTTTCTCTTTACATTTTTGCTGTTCACTATTTGCAGGTGTATGGCACAGAGACACGACCACACCAATAGTACAAACGAACACAAATAAAACTCTGAAGAATATAAATGCAAAGTAATATAACAACAAAAATCTAAATATTAACTTCAGATTAGTAATTTTGCCAACTAATCCTCTTGTTTTGTTTCTGATAAATTCTTACAAAAACATTTCCAGCAAAAAGTCTAAAACTGTTAAAGACTGTAAGACTTCAAAGAAAAGCAAAAAATTCTGGATTTTCATTTTAGAATTTTTGTTTTTCCTAAAAAAAAAAAAAAAGAGACTATTTTGGGTCAGTTTAATGACAGCAACTGACCTCTTTCCAAATGCAATGAGCTCACACAAACACTCAATGGACACACACACACACACACACACACACACACACACACACACACACACACACACACACACACACACACACACAGCTATGTGTGGTGCCCATGTGCAGCCCATACTGTGCCCTATTAGGCAGACTTGGCAGTTTGGACATGAACCAGCTAATCAGCTCGCTCAGCGTCTGGAGAGATGATCAGAGACTTACGAGAGTGAGTTTACTGGCTCTGCTCATGCCAAAGTGTTTGACTGTGTGTGTGTGTGTGTGTGTGTGTGTGTGTGTGTGTGTGTGTGTGTGTGTGTGTGTGTGTGTGTGTGTGTGTGTGTGTGTGTGTGTGTGTGTGTGTGTGTGTGTGTGTGTGTGTGTGTGTGTTCATCAGTGTGGTGAGACCTGGATAGGGGAGGACTGTGTGAAAAGGTTTCATCACAACAAACAGGAACTCAGACTGACCCATAATTCAGTCCCGTCAGCTGCATGTAGGTGCTGTGGAAGTGATCCTCCATGCAAATGAAAACTGTTCGCATTACAGATTTAAAGAAAGCGTGTCAATAAAGCTTTCTTTGAGGTAGTCTTGAGATGTCAAAATGTTATAAAACGGGTTTAAAACTACAAGGGAAAAACTGTCCTGTCCTGGCCAAGACAGGCAGCAGAACAAGTTACAGAGTTTCTGACAAACAATGAGCAGCTTTGCGCACAAATACAATAAAGATTTTAAACATGAAGAAATATAAAACAACAAATATTTTTCAAGATCGCTCGCAACCATATATCAGGGAGAACATCCACAGTCAGATGTGTCCACCTTCAAGTCATTTAACATCCTCATATAAGCATCCAATGAGAGCAGCTCGTTAAGTTTCAGGTGTTTTTGTTATTTGTTCCAAGAAAAGGGAGCAGCAAACTTAAACGCCTTTTTGTCTGATATACAACAACTGTGCCTTCAGGAGTAAAATGTAATATACAATAAAATTATTTAGTTAAGCCTGCACTTTTTGACCTTTCGGACATTTAAGAAATGTAAGAATTTCTCATTGATAATACTTTGTCTAAGAGAATAGCAAGGATTACTCTTGCATGACTGAATGTTATCTGACATTTAATAGTCATCATTTTATGAAAAAATATCTCCCCTCTTCTGATATTTAAACCACCTTAATACATTTCATTTCTGTTTCTTCTTTTTTTTTTAGGGCATCCTTAAATTACAGTTTAGTTTTTTATTCAATGTGTAAGTGTTGCAGCAAATTCATAAGTTGTCAACCTTGGGTCTGGGCCCCCTAATAGGGGCGATGTCAAAGATCTCAGGGGGAGTGCAAGGCTCTGCTCTGAGATTGTCAAAATTAGATTTTGCATATATTAACTACAATAATGATAACACACCTACTGGATAGTTTATTTAAAGGTCTGTAGACAAAACTGCGAAAAATCAAATATACTGCGAAATATCAGGCCACTCAGTCAGTCACATTGTTATTCAGTGTCAACCCAAAAAAAAAAAAAAAAATACATGTTCACGTTTTACACGTATCATTTTCCTTTCTTGTGTGGGTCCTAAGGAGTTGATATGAAGATTGAATGCATGTTTAAAAGACATAAAGGAAAATATTTTGACCTTCCTGGAAATCTGTTCAACCCAACTAAAGTTTCATGTTAACACATTGTCAACAAACGTGTAGGCCTATGTGAAAGCTTGAGTACATGGAAGATACTTAGCAAAGTGAAAGACTTCTAACAGGTAATCTTGAAGTGCGTTGAAGTGGGGATTTTTTTGTATAGACACGAAAGAAAAAAAGGTTAGAGAGAGTGGTGGTCCTGAATGTTTCTTAGTGATAAAGTCCACAATATTTCAACACTAGAAAAATAAGATGCTTGAGTTAATGCTTGACACACACCTCTCATCACTTCTTTCCCACACTCCTGCCTGAGAAAGTATCCTTGCCTCTACGCCACTTTCTATTTCTGCACTTTTTCAGTTTCTCTATTTCAAGTTATTTGAAGTTACAAACTGCCCCCCCCCCCCCTCTCTCTCTCTCTCTCTCTCTCTCTCTCTATATATATATACATATATCTCCTCTGGCCCCCTCTCTTTTCCCCCCCAGTGCCCTTCATGTGTGTTATCTTCCTGCAGGCAGCGACCAGTGGGTGAACCTTTGACCTCCTGAGAGAGAGAGGAGAAAGAGAGAAAGAGAGAGAGAGAGAGAGAGAAGACCGCCTATGGGGTCCGTTGGGTGTGGAGGGGCAGCTGCTTGCCCCTCTGTGCTAAGCCTGCGAAGGGGACCACGGCCAGCTTTCACATTCAAATTCTACCAGGCGGAAGGAGCGAGGAAGCGATAGATGGAGGGATGAAGAGGGGAGGGGGAAGGGGGGGGCCTTAACACGGTGAGGGCTAAGAGCTCGCAGAGGTGAAAAGTTTAACAAGCAAAGCTGTTCCTCCTGATCGCAGGCTGCCTAATCAGCTTCATGGGTGGCTGGCTAAATCGGCTCTCAACCCGACCCCCCACCCCCACCCCACCTTCCCCCCACAATCTTTCCTCTGTTTTTTTTTTCTTTTCCAAGGTGCAAGTCATTTATTTTATTGCCAGTTTCGCCCCAGCTTCTCTCTCTCCCTCTCTCTCTCTCTCTCGTGCTGTTATTGTTCCTCTCTGCTTTCTACTTTTTTTCCTGCTTTAGTCTCACCCTGCTTGTGGAGAAAGTGAACAAGGTGGAAGAACAGAGTGGAGAGGGGGGGGGTCTCTGAGACAGGGGAGGGAGGGATGGATGAACCGGATGTCTGGGGTCTCTCTCAGCAGGATTAGGAAACAGAGAATGAGGGGCTGGCTGGATGGAGAGACGAGTAGAGGAAAGGATAGAAGGACAGGCTTGAATAAATAGAGAAGTGGGTCGTGATGTAGGAAATAGGAAGATATAGAGGGGGGGACCGAGGGAGGGAGAGAGAGGGGAGTCGGGTGGAGGAAGATATGTTAGAGAAAGAGGGAGGGAGGAAGGGGCTTGAGTAAAGGAAGGAGACAGAAAGAAGGAGGCAGAGAGGAGGAGAGTGTGAGTGCATTGACGCAGTGGGGATACTATTTATGCATGTGAGAGAGACGGGGGATCTACACATGTGCACACACACCCTCTTGCATATGTGTGTGTGTTTCTGTGTGTGTGTTTGAGAGAAATTAAAATTCATGACTCTCTCTTCACAACCATTTGAGTAACAAGATTAAGATGGCGGGTTAGAAAATAGCGCTGGCATTATCAGGCTGCTTGCAGTCCCTCCAGCTGCTTGCCTCTCTATTCCACAACAGTGGGGATAAGAGGATAACGCGCTAGCCCTGTCTGCCCGTCCCAGCACACGCCTAACACACATGCCTCTCTCTCTCTGTCACACACACACACACACACACACACACACACACACACACACACACACACACACACACACACACACACACACACACACACACACACACACACACACACACACACACACACACACACACACACACACACACACACAAAGCCCAACCTCTGCACACTGGGCTTGCCTGCTGGTGTGTGTGTGTGTGTGTGTGTAAGAAGTTGGAGGTGTGTGTGTGCATGTTTGGAAAAACTGCAGAGAAGCGAGCCGGGGGTCCAGAAATGGTTTGTAAAGAATTTACTAAAAACGCTCCCCGCTCGCTGTCCCTTTTTCACACAAACACATGCAAAGCAAACATTGAGACAGGCAGAACGTTCCAAACAAAATAAAATGTGACGTGTCTGATCTGGCACAGTGAGGGATGCCAGTGTACTCACAGCTATGTGGGCTACGTTTGTTTAACAGCCTCTGTGCCAGATGGAGGAGCTTGTGAGTCATTACGGGAGCATGAAAAGAAGTAAACTGGGCCTAAATGACACATTTGGAAACTCAACCAACTACATGATGATGTTGCTTTAGGATGTCAGTGAGTCTGGATTTGGTTGGAGTCTCCTGCTAGCTTGAAGGTTTACAAAGATCTGTAGTACACGCTTCACACTAAAATGTATTGTAATTCTGACAAAATGACTAAGAGGACTGTTTTATCCCTTATGAAGATTTAATGTACTATAGTACACGTTCCTTGAATAAGAAATGATTATTTAACATACAAGCCTGCAAACATTAGTAATGAATGGTTTATTTTTAAACGTCTTGATTCTTTGTCCCCATTGACCTACTGGTAATTAAAAACAATGCATATCCTCCGTCAGTGTAATAAATCAGTTCTTTAATTAGTGCCAGTTTCAACAGTTAAACTAATGATAAAGTTTGAGTAAAGCTATTGTTAAGTTAATTTAATATATGTTTATTTTTGCATGATTTCATATAAATGTATAGAAATGACTGATCAATTTTAAAGACTTATAACAAATTACAATAAATGCATATAATAATAAAAATAATGACAGCTAATTAAAATGAAGACTAGTAAAATGACAGAAAAGGGTAAAAAAAAAAGTCACTTTTTAAAGTGGGCACTTGATTAAGCATGCTTTGGTCACTTTAAGCAACGATTGAGTAAAAAAAATAAAAAAATAAAAAATTAACAAAGCGGCTTTTTAGTCTCTTTTGCCTCCAAATGGATACATCTGTTTTTGTTGGAGACACCTTTGATTGTTTTAAGCTTCAGTGAAAGAAAATCCATAGTGTGTCTTCCCCTGTCGGTTCTGATATGCACTTTTCTTGTGTTCTGGTCCGCCCACTGAAAGCAAATATAGCTGAAGAAAGCTAATCTGTAGAGCAAATTAGCGGCAGCTGCTCATTGGATGTGTGTGTGTGTGTGTGTGTGTGTGTGTGTGTCAGTGTGTGTGTCAAGTATACGTGTGTGTGTTTGCACAGTGGTAGTGTATGTTTCCCTGTGATATCATCATGTGGTGTGTGTGTGTGTGTGTGTGTGTGTGTGTAATGTCTAGCCAATCTGCTGTCTGAGTGATTTCTGGTCTGTGTGGGATTGTGATATAGCGTGTTTCTCTGCTGGTTGCACAGGGTGTGTGTAAGTGTGTATGTGTGTGTGTGTGTGTGTGTCTTCAATGGTCAGTCAGCCTCATACAAGCACACACACAAAGAGCCACACAGGGCTGGTTCAGAGTGTTCATCAGAAGATAAGCAGAGGAGACTTAATCACCTTCAGATGTGAGGGGGGCACTTCAACTTGTCTTCAAATCCACACGCAGCACCTGACCCTACTGTGTGTGTGTGTGTGTGTGTGTGTGTGTGTGTGTGTAACATAATCAGAAGTGTGCATTTCAAGCCCTCTTGCTTTCCTAAGAGAAACAATTACAATTTTATTTGTCTATTGCATATGAATTTAGTTTAAATTTCATCACTCATATTCCAATTTTAAACACTTTCATTTCTGTTTCTATTAACAAACTACTTTTCATTTTCCATTCTTTTTTTTTTCTGAGATGTTCATACTCCAGTGATGCTTGCTATAAGATTTGAAACCCCATCAACAGGCCGAAAGTAAACAATCAGATGTTTTTTTCCGTTCTCATGACATTAGTAGCAGCAGACCCTCACAATGCAGAGTGGTGTGAAGGTGTGGAGTGTGACAATGTGACCTGAACCTGTCTTCAACCTGCCTTGAATCAGTCCCCTTTGTATTGTGCACTCCTCCTGTATGTGTGGTTTGTAACGACTCAGAGTCAGTTAAATACAGAAAGAGTGTGATTGTGAACGCAAAATTGAGTAGAAGACAAATAGAGAAGGAGTGAGATTCCCCATGCTGAGGTTCAGGCTACTTTAACAGGCACTTTAATGGCCAGTCTGTCCAATTGTCCCACCGGCGTAGGGGATGCGTGTGAGGCAATTTAGCGCCCTCCTTGCTGTCCTGTTCTTTTGAAGCTGTGTGTGTAATTGAGTTAACAGCTGGACACCACTTCTTTTAACACATGTGCTTTCTGTCATTCTTTTTCTCTCTTTTTTCACCATCACTTTTCTCTCCTTCCCTCTCTGTCTCTCTCTCTCTCTCTCTCTCTCTCTGTCTCTGACTGTCTCACAGTGCCAGGTTAAGGCAGCTTGTTTGAGCTTTGGTGTGACTCATAAAGTGTTTTTTAACATCTTTAGTAAATCTCTGTGTACATAAGAGGACTAGATTTTCTGCTGTTTTTTATTAAGTAGATGCATATTTTGCAGTTTTTTTCAAAAGGCAATTAGACTGCCATGCAAGTCAATTTCTTCAAAAGATTTTTTTGCCTTCAATGGATAGGACAGCTGAAGAGAGGGGAACTGTAGGGAGGACAGAGTGGGGGATGACATGCAGCATAGGGCCCAGGTCGGATTCCAACCCAAGGCCACGGCAATGAGTACTACAGCCTCCATACATGGGGCACTCGACATAACCGCAAGGCCATCTGGCGCCCCACCATGCAAGTCCATTTTAATACTAAGCTCAGATATAGTAACCTTTGTGAAAGTTTGGATCAAGCGTCAGCAGTCTCAACTAGCCCATATATTCCTGAACAGAAAGAAGAATCCTAATTTATGCTTTGCTTCAAACAGTGTAAGTCACCTTAGAAAAGAAAAGCTTCTTGGCTGAGTTGAAGAGTAAAAATGATTACACGGTAGTTGATGTCAAACTGTATTAAATCGACCACATGAGAAAATCACACTCAGATTTCACGCTACTAAGGACAGCACAGACTATTGGTTACTGACCATATGAGCACTTTGCCTGCACACTTCATTATTTAAATGTATTTGCTTGTTTAATATGATAATTTCTTTCACTTCAATAAAAAAAACAGAAATTAAAAGTCTTTACGTAGTTTCAGAGTCATGCTCACTGTCTGAGAGTCTTTCAAATCTTGAACTAGTCTCTTACCTTTAAATGAACATCCATGACCTGAGTATCATACTGCTCGTGTTGAGAGACGGAGAGTCCGACCTTCTGCGCCAGTTGACAGAACAAAGTCAGAGTATCGCCTCGCGGAGGAGCAAACACCAACGCCATGCCCTGCAGAGACAAGCACAGAGTGGGTGCTTTTAGGGATGGATAGCACAAATAGTACAAAGTGCTTCATGGTGTACTCTCAAAGTCATTTCTGGCCCTCATTAATCATAACATTTGATGTTCAACTTCTTAACAACACAGACATTTGAATTTTTCAGCAGGTACTTGTGGTGATCAGTTGAGGGAAGTAACAAAGTACCAACACTATGTTACTGTGCTTAGGTAGAGTGTTCAGGTATCTTTACTTTCAATTCCTACAATATAACACAAATATCTGTACTTACATTTTTATTCCAGGCCCATTACTTTGGCTTAAATCATTCTGAAGATAAATATTTTCTTTATTTTACACCACTGTGCACCTCATTATTAGCATCAAGAACAATGTCAATCCAAAGGGATGTGACAACAAGACATAGAAAAGACCATTTCTCTGCATGTCAGATTCTCAACAGCAAGAAATTCAACTGACTTGAACATTGAAGCATGAGGCAAAGTTTAAGCTCATTTGAGGAGTTCAACAGGTAACAGACTCAAACTTATACTTAAGCCTCTTTAAGAACTACAAAAGCAAAGGCAACCATCAGCTTAGAGGGCGTACCAGTAAGACACTCTTTGCATATCCAAGTCATGTCTCAAGTCTTTGCAGGCAGCAGCAAATCCAAGTCAAGTCTCTAATGGTTTAATTAAATAACCATAAAAACATTTTAGAAACGCCAAACCCGCACCTACAGGCTCTGTTTGTTAACAGTATTGAAAAACATTTTCTCTATCTTAGTCAAGCTATGTTTTGTAAAGCTGCTCAAATGACACAACTCAAGATTTGAAACATTTCACTCAACATCAACTTGATATTACAGGACCACAACAGGTGATCTCAGAGTGGAAAAGCCTTCATTACGTAGCAAACCTACAATGATCCAAAACGAACATAATGAGGAAAAACATCGGCAGCAGCCAGCCGCACATCACACAGGTTTCACATTTAACATGAGACACTGCATCAACAGAAGGGACATTTATGAAGAATCATTCGACTTAATAGTCTTGTTCACAAAATGTGAGAGTAGTTTTGCCTAGAAGCAGCGGGTAAAAATATCCCTCAGAGGGGTACTTTGTACTTTTATTCTAAGAGTACAACTCAAGGCCTGTACCTTTTCTTCAATTACTCCAGTAGGGCAAGTTACAGCAGAACTCTCCCACACAAAAGAGTTACTATTTCTACTTGAGTGAAGAAGGTGCTTACTACTGCCACATCTATAGATTATCAACCAACAATAGTTTGTGGACACGTGTATACGTCTGAAATGTCTACTCTTGTTGGTTACATGTACCCTTCAAGTGTGTGTGAAAAGCAGAGAGATGAAAGAGTGTTTTTGTGTTTAAACATGCATCACTGACATCCTGCAAACACTAAGAGGATTACCAACAAGTTCAAAGTTTCTTTGAAATCCTTCAGCTCTCCCTTTAAATTTGTGTTGATCATGTTTTTATTGTTTTAATTAAATGAAGCAAAGAGGGATGCTTTTATAAACACATGCAAATACACACGCTGATATACACAAGCTAACAGAACATAAGCTAAGTGAAAACAAAGGCAGTGAAAACAACAGGATCACTGCATGTGACAGATGATTTTTCATCTTTATATCCGTTGCATTCTCTCTCAAAAAAAAACCCAAAAAAACACAGCAAACAAACAGAGAGAAATCCTCACTGCACTAATCAGCTGATTAAGGGGATCCAGCCCACCGGATGGACCACCTTTGTCAGAAACAACAAATTAGAGCCATTAGAAGGGAGAATTAATTGCTTTGTTAATTGCTTAATCAGCTTAGCAAATTATTAAATATTTGGCAAAGCTTGTTGTGGCAGTGGCAGTCTGATGGCCGACACTCAAATCATATTAGCCCCTGAATTATCTCCTCTGGATTAAAGAGAGAGAGACATGAAGAGAGACTTAACACACAGATGTACAACAATGGCCAGATGTCACGTCTGTCACTGGACCGCTGCAGCTTCTGTACTCAACTGATGCTCATATCCAGGATGTGCTTGTCAGGGTCTAAAACATCAGCTGAGTAACATGAATAATAGATTCTTGTGTTTTATTTATTACTGCTTCTTCTAATAAAGATAATAAACAAGATTTTAAGCTTTAGTTCACTCAAATCACAAAAGAATGTGTTTCCTCACTTACCTTTAGTGCTTTAAGCAAGCTGTCAGTTTTGTGTTTAAACTAAGCTGAGACTTGGCCATCATTCCAATAAAAAAGATAATAATGACATTTAAAGAGCTGAATTTAAAAAATAGACATTTGAGAAATACACCAAAAACATCTCGTTCCAGAAACAGTGTCACAGTTGTGCTTATAATCAGTCAGCAGTTTTCATAGGGACTATTGTTTTGTTAAAGGAAGTTGTGGTAAAAACATTTCACAGAAAGTTCTAATGATTATTCAGAAAGGCAGCATTTCGGGGGCACCGGTGGCTGGTGTTCAGTGCGAGCGCTCCATATACAGAGGCTATAGTCCTCCAAGCAGGCGGCCCGGGTTCGATTCTGACCTGTGGCCCCCTTCCCACATGTCACCTACACTCTTTCGCTCCCTGATTTCCGACTCTATACACTGTCCTGTCTCTGCAATAAAGGCACATAAAGCCCAAAAATAAATCTTAAAAAAAAAAGAAAGGCAACATTTTTGTTGAATTGAGATCTCTTTTAGTGATTTGTATGAACTGATCCTTTAATAACCTGACAGTGAACTGAAACCACATTTTCACCTGCATGTTTCTTGTCCTACATTCATCAAATATTCAAAGAAGATGCTTTATCGGCTACTACATGAAACGTGTTTTCCACGTCTCTCCTCCCTGTCCTTCTTTCAGTGTCTTCATAATTCCAGTTTCTCTCCCTCCTCCCTTTCCCTTCCCATGTTTCCTCTTTCCTCCTCCTCTTTCTTCTCTGATTCTCTTCTCCCTTTGGAGCTGTTTCACCTCTGTTTCATAAACAGATACTCCCTGTCCCAGTCTGGGCCCCTCTGTACTTAAAACGTATCCCTGTTCTCTCAGATAAATAGAAACCTCAACCCTATCTTTTCTAGCCTTTTCCTTTTTTCCTCCCATTTGCTTTGGCTGTCACAGCGTGGGGTCTTACTGAAGGGCCAAAAGGGAGAAGTTCCCTCGATTTATGATGAAGGGAAGGCAAGAGAGCGCTGGAGATCAGAGTGATGCATTCAAGTTGCTCATAATAAGCATTAAAGCATTACATGATATTAATCCTGTCGGACCATTGATGTGTATAGGGTTTTGGTTGAGGCCTAATTATGATTGAGAGCAGTGGGGTGATTTAGAGGAAGGGGATAAGCACAGACAGATACAGTACACACACACACACACACACGCACACACACACGCACACACACACACACACACACACACACACACACACACACACAGACACTTACATTTGGCTGCAGTAATCTCCTTATAGCATCAACCAGGCTGGCTCTGTACTGGTCGAGAAACAAACTGAGAGGGAGAGAGGGAGTCAGGTTAGAATGCATTCCTGTGATAGAAGCTGCAGATAAAGCAGCAGGCTATTTATTTTCTTTTGTTCACAAATAAATCCACCAACAGGAAGAGGGAAGGAAAAAACAATTTGCATGAAGATGCTCTTCCTTTTTGTTTACGTTGGAGTTTCCATGTGTATTCACCTCAGCCGGCTATTGAGGTATAAGAGGAATGCAGAACATCAGAAATTCAAACGTGTTCAGATACCATCGCCCGCAGTTAACACAAAACACACACACACACACACACACACACAGTTATGCACAGACATACACACTTTTTACTACTTCAAAGCAGCGTTAAATCACCTTAAGTTTAGGGAATTAATACCTGGAGAGTGTGCTCTGAAGTTAATATGGAAATATGAAAACAAAAACAACATATGAAGGAAAGAAAAAACGTGTTAATGAAATCAAAATAACTGATTCAATTGCCAATTAAACACCACTGTAGTGTATCTTACATGTGTGTTTTGGGGAGATATTGTGTTTCCAATGTGCTGCATGTGAATGACAGGTTTTTTCATGCATGCTTTTCATTTGTTAAACTTCACAAACAACATGATTAGCACCACAGTCAGACACAAACAAGGAGTGAGTTAAACTGATTAAGAAAAGATAATCAGGGTGCACTTTGGTGGAGTGTGTCTACATGTTTTTATTAAAGGTATCTTATTAATAATGACTTGCCAAAAGAATCTGGGACAAACTTCAGAAACAAACTAAGCTTAATGTCACTTACAAAAAGTGATTTTAAAGAATGATAGAATAATATATATATAAGTCTACTTTGGTTTTTTGATATATACAGCAGTAACCGTGCACTCAAGAATGTTCAAACAGACTTTAAGGAATGGCCATTTGAGCTTTAGACTAGGCGCAACTTTAAGGTACAAGAGATCACTGTGATTTATCGGAAGCTTCCTTCATGATTGTTTGAAGTTTAAATCTTTTACTGTAGGTTCTAAAGCTCTGAGGTTAACTTTCTAAATGTACCTATTTGTTTAAAGTCTCTTCCTAAAGGCCCAGGTAGAGATGGGCAGAAGAAGAAAAAGAAAGAGAAAAGTCTTTAGTGCTTCATACTTTCTCACTATGCTTATAAACAGAACACACATTAAATAAGTGACTTGTTATCTTAATATTTTGGGTGGAAAGTGTTCTGGTTAAAACCATGGTCATGTACGATAATTGTCTATATATTAGTTAAGTTTATAAATAACTATGCAGATAAAACTCAAAATGAGTTGCCTAACATAATGCAGATTGAGATACACGTAACCCACTCACACAGACACACAGGCACCAAAAGAGTCCAATCATTCTAAACACCTGTCTCTATATCCACATCCACACATTTCAATCCATTATGTTAGGAAGTAGAGCGCTGAGTGTGTGTTTGTTTGCGTGTTTGTGTGCACCTATTATCACAGATGAGAGTGGAGTAATTTGACTAAAATGCAACAATACAGTGCAGATTTGTTATAATCCCACACATCCGTCCAACTGGCCCCCGCGGAGCGCCAATCTGGACGTAAGTCTTAAATCACAGCCGCTGACCTTGTCTCGTTCAAAATCCTCCGATCCCAAGGAACTATGACAGTTCATGATACAATCGCTGCATCTCTGCACATACATATACATGTACTTTCAAATTAATTCAAACGTTTACCTCGTAAACATATTTAATACACATTAATAGCCTTACTTACGTACACAGGATATGGTAAAGAAAATGTAAAAACCACACAGGGCTCATACTGATTCCAGGATGGGTGTACGTATGTGCAAAGGTCATTGTTCTTTTAAGGTTAGACAGAGGTGAAAAGCTTATTTGTCTTGAAAGGTGAGAGGTTTGTTTTTGGTTTGTTTTGCCATAGATATCAGTTCACAGGAAAAGTGAGAAGTGAGGAAAACAAGGAAGTGAGCTAGTTGGGTGGAGGTAACAGCTGAAACATACCGACACGCTAAGGGCAGGGAAAGGACAATGTGTCATTAAGAGGGCAACAGTTAAAAGACACAAACTTTTGTTTTGCATTTTTCTAAAACTAACACTATACACATTTGATATGAAAAAACAAGGTTAGACATTTGGTCATTGGTTCAATCAAATTATTGTGTCAAAAGGAGTTTTAATTTTTAAAAGAGAATGGATAAATAAAGGTCTTTGTTATTCAGAAATAATGTCATAATTAACAAACCATGACCAGAATCAGAATCAGAAAAACTTTATTAATCGCAGGGGGAAATTTGTTTGCTACAGTTGCTCGTAAACACCAAACATCAGTAGGAAGTATATAGATGAGTTTACAATATAGTGTACCTATGGAGGGATAAACTCTTGTTTTCAAAAAATGAATTTAGGTCTTTTTATGCCTTTGTGAGAGAGGCAGGGCAGTGGATAGAGTCAGAAATCAGGAGAGAGAGAGAGAGAGAGAGAGAGAGAGAGAGTGGGGAGTTAATTGTGGGAAAGGACCTATAGGTTGTATTTGAACCCATGCCACCCGCCTACCTTCAATCACAGTCAAACTAGGGGCTAACAAGCCACGGTGTCCCAAAAGGGCTAGATTTAAAAGTATGTTCAAATGTTTTAAATATATGTCCATAGTCATAAGAACTGTTAGTACTTTAAAAATTGGCTAAGTTATATTGAATGCTTATTGGAGGTATTTGTCTGTTAACTATAAATTATTTCTTTGTGTCTAAACATTGAACTGTAAAAATCCCTGTTGGTTCATTTTAACCCTTGAAAATTCTTTGATTGTTACTACTGCTTAGACAAATGACAAATTGTATTCTAATTTAAAAAACGTTCAATCATTCATAATTTGGATCATGTAGAGAGCTGCTACTCGTCTCATGATCACATGTTGACTATCTTTGATCATGTGAAGCAGTGTTTGTTATTGTGGAGAAGTGACTTCACAATTCTTTATATTCTTCTGATGTGATTTTTATTTCTTTTAATATGTGACTCCCTTGTGTTCTTAATCTCTCGTATAGAATCTCTATAACTGTTTAGGGACTTTTAACTGCCTCTTGCCTTAAAGATGCCAAATACAGTCGCATGATTGCCTTGCTTAAATCTTGTTTCTTCTATTCCACAATGGCTAGAAATATATTGTTTCCACATTTTATATGTGTAGTCAAATGTGTACAGCTTTTATTTATCCAACAAACACTATTCAAACTACATTTTATCCTTCTGAGTTATAACAAAATGTCGACAGTACACAGAGATGTTCCTGTGGGACGGATGTCTCACAGTCAATTACACTGTTTGGCAGAGAATCACTGTTTAATAATGCCAGAGAAGTCTCAAATTGAGGAGTCCTCCTCTTAAAGGTCATGTTAAGGTCAACTGTGCTGCCCCCAGAATGTCAGAGGCCTATTGTCTCACACTGACCCCTCCCACCCAGGACAGCCCAGTGAACTCCACTCACATCTGACTGGGGGTCAAAGAGCACAGGGGGAATGTGTGTGAGAGCGTCGCTGCTATATCTGTCTGCTTACACACGTCTGTGAACATACAGGATGTCGTCAGAGCTGGAGGGTGAGACCATGGAAACATTACATCATCTACATCTGAGTTTGTGGGCAAAGTGAAGGGTTAATAAGCAAGGTTAAGGTTGTTTATTTACATTAATTACTGAGCTGTGTCAATAGATGACCTAATACTTTATTTTGTGACTTTGTGACACAGGCGTTACTATAATTTGAATATAATAACTTTCAGCACTTCATTGGTTTTCTTATACCCAACAAGGGAAAAAACACAATTTTATTCTATCTTTGGTTTTAAGTTCTTAGCCTCAGTCCTATTCATGATCATTTCTGTGATTATTATAAAATCTAAAAAGGTGTCAGATTAGCCAATCACAAACTACTTTAAACATGTGCTCTCATACGGGAAAACAACACAAACCAGGTCAAGGCTGGAATAAAGAAAAACAAGCTTTTGAACATGTTCACAAAAGAAACAAATATAGATATACATAGCCTTGACATTCCTGACATTTTCAAATTTTCTGACACTTACTCTTTAAACCAATTCACCTGCCATTGAGATCTGTTACCAGGTTGTTGTTGTTGTTGTTGTTGTTGTTGTTGTTTTTTGGCAAAAATGTGGAATGACTTCCTTTTTCAAATGCATAACATTAGTTCTGTAACCACAGCATTAGAAGGGTCTTCATATCTTAGTTTAATGTATTTTTCCTCTATGTGACTCTATCAAGCTGATAATGATTTAATGTTTTCGGATCACTTACTCTGTAGAAATTTTCTAAAGATCTGACACAAATGTAATTAATCATAATTTGCAGTAATATGTAGCTCATTAAATGTACAAATCTTAAATGGTTCATGCTGTTTCATTCCACGATGGGTCATTTACAGGAATAAAATGCTGAAGAAATGATGCGAGCATCAGGAAAATGAAAAAAGCCAGAAATAAAGTTGAGTTATTAATTGTATTTATAAGGAAGGAAATAGATCTAATCCCATATGGAATTAGGTTAAAATGAATTTGTCTATAGTCCCAATGTCCTCAAAAGCTCAACAGACAGTCCCTACATATATGTGACCTTCTCGTCTTGGCTGGTAGTGGTGTACGTCATCTTCCTAACTAAGTTGCAGTAAGGTTTTTGAGTTAGTACGTACCGGTAATGTTTCTAGTACGGTTGTTACTTTTACAGAGCTATCTGTCCGTCACAAACCATTCGTCAACTAAAGATGTAGGAGGTTTTACTGAGTTGTGAAAATTGGATTTGCAGTGTTTTAGTTTTGCATGAGTTTCCAAGGTTTGTGTTTTTGACTTCCCATCATTTAGGTAGTTGCATTTCCATTGCTGTTAATATAAATATTTTGGCTTTTCCCAACACATTTCTGTTGTTGCATTTATTGTGGATTTTTGTATGTGTTTTTGTATTTGATTCGTTTTACATAGAATCGTCAGGGCTGTTCTAGCATATTTGCACTTGTGGGCTATTTTGCATGTGAATTTACAAAAAGATTCAAATGACAAAGATATGTAGTACAAACACTGACAAATGCTCAAATGCACAAACACACACACAAACTCACGCTCACATAAACAGAGCTTTATCTCAGTGGCCACACATGGACAGATTTTGGAGAAAGCAGACATGCCAACATCCCAGCCAAGGATCCTCTGCCACCCGCATGCACACTGCAGGAATCCCTCTCTGGCTATCACAAACACGCACGCACGCACACACCAACAAACACACACAAAGATGTGAGGAGGCACACAACACTCCCTCTATTCCTGCACCACTGTCTGTCTTTCATTATGTCAATCAATTAAAAATGATGTGATTAGGATGTGAGGAAAACTGATAGATCTTCCTGCTACATTGTCTTAAAGCCTTTCATCTCCATTTCCACCTCATTTAAATATCACATCTCTCTCTGTATATAGTGTTGATTTCAGAGGTAAGCGAAGGTTCTACTTAACTGGAATGTCCACTGTTCCTGTATTTGCGCTGGAAGTTGCCAAACAAATCATGTAGCACAGAGATTTAAGGTGATCACACAGCAGCCTTTTAACTTCAGTAGACGAATGATCAAACAGCCTGCTGGTGTCAAACTCTGCTCATACATCATTGTGCACAGGGTGTGATTTATTTTTCTGTGAGCCTGAATTTATTCATTTTCCACTATGTGCTTATTTCTTTTACCCACCTTCTATCATCCTTTCACAGCTTTACAGTATATTCTGTACATCCACTCTAAATCTTCCATGATGTGGAAATGTGTTGTTTGCTCTGATAACTTCAAGTGGCAGAGCAAGACGTGTTTATCAAGACTTAATATTCAACTAATGTGGGTGGCAATGTGCGTTTATTTTCCTATAAACATATACTCTCACTTTATATAAATGCATTCTGAGTTTATATGAAGGCCACTGGTGACTTTATTTCATCAAAGGCGTTTTTGTTTGACACACTGTTACTGTAGTTCTGTTGTTAATAAACAGCTATTGTGACTACCCATGGCTGGCCTTGACAGATAATCTCTATAGAGACCACATCTAGCTGTGTACTAACCTTTGGTTCACACATGTTTTCCGCACTCGTGACATCAGACAGGGAAGCAATTCACAATTTTTTTTTGAGTGGAGTGATGTTATATTATTTAGAAAATGTAGTGTATTCATGCTTTGACAGCACTTAACATGTCAGAAGTTCTCTCCAAGACCAGACAATTCTTCTTTTGCATAAGAGCCCATCTCCAAGGATAGGCAGGGTATCCAAAGCATTATACACACCTGTGACACACAATATTACACAAAACTCGTCCTCTGTCCTTGCTCTGCTCCTCTTGTCTGCTCCGCTCTACTCTTAGCGGTGGATCCGCTGCCACAGGCAGGAGCTATAATTAATCAGGTTGGAAGCCACGTTGTTGACCTTTTCGTAGGTGATCATCGCCATAAAGCTCCCGTTAATCGGTCAGCCTTCACTCTTCCACAACCAACACTGCAATTATCACACAATCGCTCACTTGCATACACATGTGGAACCCAGGTGGGCACCACATAGAAAAACATCTTGCAGCACACACATGGAAGAATTCCATCGCTAAAGCATCTGTCTGAAGAATCTGTGGTTTCAAGAAATTCACGTGCAATTTGCTCTGTTCTCACACGATCTGCTTCTATCTATCGTACACACTCATGCATATACACCAGTCAACTGTAAAAAATCCTCTATTAGCAGCCTGCTCTCTTTCTCTCTCTGGGTGTTGTACCTGACTATTACCTGTAATGACCGTGACATTACAATAATGATAACGCCGTTTGCTAATGCTGCACTTAGCACACACGCACACCATCGTGCAGATAGATACACACGTGCTGAACACAAACTCATTTTTCGGTGTTTGTGGAGCTGGTAAGTAGTCAAGTACTTTCACTTCTACCAACAGCATGCCCATCTTCTCAGCGTGTGTGTTAGTGTGTGTGTTTGTGTGTACATACTGTTAGTGTGAATGTGTGATGGCAAAGTGACATAAATGCTTCTAATCCACTGAAAAAGTCAAATAGATTAAAGAACCATGACCGGTTTAAAAATAACTGATAATTTTTGTTGCTTGTGTGTCAGTTCCTAAGTCCACCCTGAATCTTTCTGACTATTCATCTTATTCACTAGGAAGCCATTTTCCTCTGATGTTGTTCTAAGAGTTTGAGGATCAAACTGTTGGTTCTAAAAATCTGAAGAACCAACTTATACCAACTTATACTTACAGACTATGGTCAATCTATGGTTAAACTACATGCATGATTACTCATCAGCTACCATCAGACAGCTACTGTTAGCTAAATTAGCATTCAACTGCACCTTGCTGACATTTGCATTCACTCGCATTATTCACCTATCTTATTTTGTGTAAGGTTATCAAATGGTTATGTTAGCATTCTACACGCTTATTGTACCATTAGCTAGGAGCTGGCTGAACGCTTACATTAGCTGTTGTCTTGTGGCATCAACGTTATGTTTTTAAGCTACGTTGTATAAACCTGAAATTTAGCTTGATTCCTGTCCAGATTTTCACCACTGTCTACATAAAGATTCCACAAATCACTGTCACACTGCCTTTGTATTTTCTGCCCGAGGATGTGATTTTAAACAGCATTACAGTTTTGAAGATGTCGTTGTGTGTAAACAAACATCATAAGCTTCACATACACACGGCTGTCTCACCCTTCATATGGTAGTTGGCCCGCCTCTGTTATTCATCTCTGACTTCCTTTTCTGCCTGCTTATGATCTGCCTGTCTATGTTCTATATTCTGTATTTCTAGTTTCTGATCTATATGATGGCTGTTACATGTCAGTGATTTTTAGGTTTATGGGATTTTTCAACCTGGAACAACATCCGATATCCTTGCAGAAGACTTAGGTTTCTTCCATAGCTCAACAAAATCAGAAGTTCTCAAGTTATGCTTAGAGTCTTACTCTTCACTCTTTCTCTCCCCCCAAGTCTGGCAAGTCTCTCAGCTATACAAGTCTTCAAGGAGACCAACAAGGCACACATTCGGTTTTTGATTAATATTTTTCTATATAAAAGGTTTCTTTCTATTTTTTTATTGATAAACTCCAAACATGTCTCCACGACAAAAGAACACATAACAGAGGATGACTGGAAGGTACCTTTCATTCCCACTATAGCTCTGTCTTTGTGTTGTTGTTGTTTGATATTTGTGGGTAAACATGTCAAAGTTGTACAATGCACATGATAGATTTTCTATAGAGAAACATATAAGACAGAAATGTTGTCTAAGAGAAGACACGAGGAATTCAAATTGCTTCCACCCCCCCCCCACAAAAGGATGTCCCTGTGCAGAGTACATTAAAAACAACAAAGCATTTTACCTCACAGTGCAACTGTGCTATAAAATACGTCATTTTTGATTGGACACAAGATCTACATTTCAAAGACCGATGGGCTAATTGTTATGTTTATAATGTTCCTTCTCTTCATTTCCATCTCCAGTTCTGCTCCTCCCTTATTGCGCCCGCAACTCTTTCTTTATCTTACTCTGTCTCCTTCCCTGTCAAGGCGCAATTATTTGCAATTTGCCTAAGTCATCCATTTGCTGGGACACCAAGCATGAAAAAGAGGCAATTTGGTGTAAAATGGAGGCAGCCCGGCATCTGAGCATATGTATGCGCGTGTGTGTGTGTGCATGTGTGTGTAGACAAGGCAGGGAAAGGTCCAAGTAGTGTTGGTAGGGGGCCAAGCAAGAACAGTCTCATAAAAACGCAAAAATTCAATCAAAAAATGCACATAGAGGTAGATCTGTATTTGTGTGAGTGTTGGTTCACGGTGTGTGTTTGTGTGTTTATGCATGAACCTACCAGTCTGCACACATGACAATGTCAAAGTGACCCTCCAGTGCGGAAATGTCAGACTCACTGTCCCACCTGACCACCCTGAAAGCACACACATAAAACACAGAGCAGAGTTTAGCATTTGCAGGGTGTGTGGTAAAATAAATTCAGTGTTAGACAAACTGCACAGCGAGCAGCAGCAGTTTTCCCTCCGCTGCTCCCTTCTCTCTCTTTCTAACACTTTGAGGTTCTTGATCCCCGACGCCTCTCTCTCTCTCTGACACCCGCTGTTTTTCTGCCTCAGCAGAGACTCGGAAGTGTCAGGGAGGGACGACATGTCATCTGTGAGGTAAAGAGAGGGAGCCTCTGACATGACACTTGACATTTATACCTTGTGAACACACACACACACACACACACACACACACACACACACACACACACACACACACACACACACACACACACACACACACACACACACACACACACACACACACACACACACACACACACACACACACACACACACACACACACACACACACATACAGCAAATGGTCACCACCATACATGTTTGCGATTCAATATCTTAATTATCCTCTCTCGCTGTTTTACTGTTTAGGCATGAACAAAGGATGTTTACAATTAGGGAATTTTCATTTCAAACTTAGTAAAAGAATATTGTGCATCAATTTATAACTGTTTTTAGCTGTGTTGCTGTCTGTTTTCTGGATATGTAACTGTTTTCTTTTTAGCTGATTTTCTTTTTTATTGTTTTATTTGTGTCCCCGCTTTCATGCTGTGAGCTCAATGTCACTGTAAATTAGGGAAACCTCAGTGTCTTTCGAGTTAAAATAAAGGTTTTGAATTGAATATAACAAATGGGATGGGAGTAGTTTTTAATATATACTATAGAAAACAACCTTGTATACACTATGGAAATATAGTAAAGGTTTCATGTTATATACTGTTTTCCAATAAGCTCTGACGTATTTGATGAAATTATGACAATAGGCCCTATTTGTATTTTTTTGCAAGCAAATATGATATGTAGTTTGCCTTTCTCTTCCCAAAGACAGGCTTAATGTTGGCAGATCTGACACAGGCTGTTTCCTCATGGCTCAGTCGGTCTGTGTCCACCAGTCTCATTAAAGGCTTTATATGGGATCTTTTGATCCATTAGATGTCGCTCTTGAGCACCAGCATGCATCCAAAACAACTCACGCTTCGTTGTTGTGTTAGCATGCTAATGCTAGCGATCTTTATTATGCTCGTATATTCACACTGCATGTAAATTTACCCGAAATGACCGTGATCTAGAAACGCTTACGTGACATTCAGTTAAGCAGTAGTACAGTATTTTATTCTTCTTTTCTCTAGTCCCTCAATTAAACAACTTTTATACGCAAGGGGATGAGCCGGCTGACTGTCCGGGCGATGTAAACAAAGCGAAGATAGGACTCGGGGAAACTCAGAAAGCATCACAGACAGTGGGACTCAGGTGTTACACCCATTGTAGACAGTCATGACTCACAGAGTTATTTTCAGAGTATATACTTGATTTATATTACATTTAAGTGTGAAAAATTGCATATTAAAGGTCCCATATTATGCTTTTTCTGGTTTTATATGCTCTTTAGTGTGTTTTCCAAGTGTCCTGTGCATGTTTAGGCACATCTTTGTGCAAAAATTCAAAGTCCGCGGAAACGCGGCTTCTCCTACGTCTTCCTGTTAGCTGTAGCATTAGCCGCATGTAACGCTCGGTTCTAGCCCCCCTCGATAAATATTTGTGAGTCCGACGTCATTGTCAGTGTGAGATCACTGATGTTAGCCCATTGGCTCGTTGTGGCAAGCCCAGCAGCTCATGTTGCACGCCCGTTAACTTCTGTAGCACGCCCACGATATGCCGTAGCCTGTGGTAGCACAGTAGTGCTAAGGTGCTAATGTTTATGCTCCCCTCGGACGGAGCCAGTGGCTGCATTCCCAATATGGTAAAAGAGGCGGGACATTTCCGAGAACCATGCTGAGCAACTGACCAATAACGACAGAGCGGATCGGCAGACCAATCAGAGCAGACTTGGCCCACGTGGAGTCTAACAGTGTGGGCTCAGCAGAGCGTAGCTGATGGACTCAGAGCGTAGAGGGAGCAAGGAGGAGCAGTACATGAAAACAGACACTTTTTTCAAACTTCATCTATTGTCAACGAACAAAAGTAGGTACATAGATTAAATATACGAACCCCAAAAAGGGCATAACATGGGCTCTTTAAGCCTTTAAAAAGGCGTGATCAACCTGTCTGTCTGTCTTTAGCTACTAGTCATCAGAGCCCAACCGATCAATCAGCCAGCCGATAATATCAGGCGATATTAGCGTATCCAGTTACTATCGGTATCTGCTAATTTTTTATTACAGATAGGAGCCAATAATACTAGATTTATTCACCAGTCAAATATAATTTCATTTGAGTTTCAGTGTATTACACTAGCATTTCTCCTTCATCAGCAGAGTATGCCATATGGATTACAACGAGCATTATCACTTTCTGTGTACATGCTCAGTTACTTTCCAGTTGAGTGACCATCTTGTCTTTTCAAGTGTTTGATAACTGCATTTGAGGTATCAGATTTTTTTTCACTTCCCAATGCCAATATCGGCCCCAAAAGTCCCATATCAGTCGGACCCTACTTATCATTTATTTGCTTTTGTCTTTGTCTTGTGTTAAAGCTCAATGAAATTTAATCTTAGTACAATAACAGTTGTGTTTTTTTTCTTTATTTAAAATATGGTTTAGAGCAGGGCTGACACTGCATAACATTTACAGTTTCTCCTGCATCCCTTTTTCCACATATTTTTCCCTCTCTCTCTCGCCCTCTCTCTTGCAGTCTGTTAGGCGGAGTGGGGGGTTATTAATTAGGCATTATTAACACTCAGTAAACAAAACATTAGGCCCGGCTTAGAACACAATCTCGATTCCCGGCAGGAGGTCCCAACACACACGAATGCATGCATGTGCAAACATCATCATGCAAAATGCCCCTCCCTCTCCCTCCCCATGTCCAATCGCATTGTGCCCTTCGCCCTCTCTTGCGGTGCAGCGATGACAGCCAGCATAATCTGAAAAGAAAACAATCAAAGTAATGTAGCCTAATTATACGTTTACTTTTTCACTCCATCTTCCACTCGTGTAAATATGCAGTGGAGTGAAACAGAGAAAGAGAGAAACAGAGGAAGAGATGGAGAGAGAGAGAGAGAGGGGGGGGGAGGACCAAAAAAAAATAGTCAATAACAAAATGATTATTTTGAGACAAAAATTAACTACATTTTAGCTCGACCCAATGGGGTGTGTGTGTATGTGTAAGGGAAGTGGAAAGTTATCTGCCTAATTTCTGGCTAAAAACCCACTTTTAAATGGAATCGATTTGCTTCGATGACTGCACATATGTAAACACACACATACAACACAATCCAGTTGATGAATGATAATAACAGTATTTAAGGATTTTGGTCGATATTGTCAAATTTTATCACATGAAAATATACAAATTTCCATTTTTGATCAAGATAAAATCTGATTGAAATGTATTTCAAGTTATGGGGCGCTGGTGGCACAGTGGTTAGTGCGCGTGCCCCATGTATAGAGGCTGTTGCTTTCAAGTGGGCAGCCCAGGTTCAAGTCCAGCCTGTGGCTCCTTTCCCGCATGTCATTCCCCACACTCTCTCCCTGATTTCCAACTCTATCCACTGTCCTATCTCTACAATAAAAGCAGAAAAAGCCAAAAAAATAAATCATTAAAAAAAAGAAAAAGTATTTCAAGTTATTGATTGATAACATTTGTTGAATAAATCAGCACAACTGTCAACATGAAGTTAGTCCAGTATCATAAATCAAAGATATTTGGACACCACACAACCTGAAAAAAAATCCAGTTTTCCAAGTGAAAATGTCAGACAATGGTTTAGTCAATCAATATAAGAGACCTGACGATACGATGACTAATAGGTTTTTAGTATATCTACAACTTAAGAATGTTTAGTATTTTAGAACATTAATATGGGAAACAAAATACTATCACTCAGTAGACAACAAGTTGGCATCTTTTCAAAAATACACTTTTACTTTTAAAAATATAACCACTGACCACCACAATATTTATCTGTTACAAATTTGTTGATTTTCACTCTTAAACTATAACTATGGGGAAAAATGTCTTTTGCATGTACAGTTACACAAGCATGCCTTTTTGTGTTCTTTTCTAAGCATGCTTCGTAATCCCAAAGCAACTTTTAACATTTTTTAGAATCTTATAAGTTTCAACAATATGACTGAACACATCTCATTTATTAAACTGTGTTGACTAGAAAACTTCGATTTTGAAGCACTGTAATGGTAAAAAATAATAACAACAACATGGCGTACAGTAAAATTTGCGCTGGTTACTTGTCCCGCTGGACAGCATGACGCAATAAAAGTGAGCGCTTAAAAAAAAACTGGAGGCAGACGCACACACCAAGACAACCACATCACATGGTCTATTTTTCATTTTGAAAACTAAAGACACCAGAGTAAAGGTCATGTCAAATATCATAAAGAGCTAATAAAATGGTCTCACCTGGTTGATACATGTGTTGAACCAAACTTTCCAGCTTGTCTGTTTTTCTCGACCAACCCTCGGACATCTGGCGTGCCACAGTTAAGAATAAAAAAATGTAACAGGAATTCAACATAGGAAAATGCAGACCCATATTCTACATTATTATACATTATACTCTCAGTTTTTATACATTACAAATGGCCAGCGATGTTTACAGTAGATAACATTCAAGAGGCTCACTGTTAAAATCTTAAGACACAGTATCATAAATCACAAATGAACCTCAAGGGGGTTTACAGTGTGTGCAGAAATATGGCACTGATTGTGAAGGGGAAACCCCAACACAATACATTGGAAAGGAAATATTGTAAGAAAACAGCCAGAGGAAAAAGAAATAGAGCACTCCTTTCAGGATGGATAGAAAACATAGATCTTAAGTATACAGAATGGATCTATATAAAAAGACAACTATTTAAGATGACTATTTAAAAAAAAGAGTAAATTAATAATTCTTTTTTGAAGAATAAGCTACACAAAACATGTAGAAGTTAGGATTGATGAAATACCATTTGGCATTTCCTCTACCACCAACAGTTTGCTAACTAAAAAGGAGATTTTAAACCCCAATTAAAGACATTAAGTTTAAGGATTTTTAGTGACATGTTGCATGATGAACAAAATCCACACATAAACACACAGAGACACTCTTTAGGTAAAAACACAGATGGCATGGTCAACAGGCCACATTGAAACAGCATGAGTGAGCAGAGATGATCTCCAGGGACAGAGATCCAGCCTGCAGCAGCAGCAGATCACAGCAGACTCTATCTGGATCAATGGGGAGGCTTTTAACCACAAACTCACACTGTCCTTCTCGCTCGCACACCCACACATAATCACATGCACGTAGATGAACACACAAAGAGGGCGAGTGGTGTCAAGTTGTCTCATAATACACTGGCTTGTGGAGTTGCAAAGCAATTCAATTACGATTTCCTTGTCTTTAAAGCCTGAGACAAATCCAATCGACAAAAACAGAGAGGGAGGGCATGATAAGTTGATAGATGGATTGATAACTGGAGAGCCAATCCAAAATCAAAGGGGCCTCCCAGACACTGACACACAATAATATGTAGGTTAGCCCACGTTTATATACATTCACAGGCATGAGCACACACACATGCTGGACACCTGTGCATCAGTGTGTTATGCATAGGGATGACAGGGCGAAGGGCGGGGCAGCTTACTGTAATCTCATCACCAGCACACCACTAGGGGAGAGGTCACTGACACACACATATAAAAGTAAAAAAACACACACACACACACACACTCAAATCACACTCAAATAAATAGGAGAAGTGAAAGAGAGAGAGAGAGAGAGATTTGAGTGTTTGTGAACATTAAAGTGGAGAAAAATTTGCTCCCCATCACTTGAAGTAGACAAGCACCAGCCAATGACATGCATCAATCATTCTTAATGGAACAACTCAATTGATTTCCAACATGAGTATTCAAGGTCACAGCAAAAGAGGGTCTTCTCTGCTGTGTGGTGTGTATTTCTGTGTGTTTCCTCACTTTATAAATGAGGTCAACAACTTGGAAGGAGACGGAAAAATCCATTCACGTCTTCTTTTCCCCGCATATCTTCTCATCTATTTCACTGGATACAACCGAGCCATATCACAAGCCACTATCTCTTTCCATTGTAACGCTAGCAGCACAATAAATGCATGTGAGACAAACAATGTGAGCCATTAGCGCGAGGCTAAAGACCGGCAGCTTCCTCAGCGATAGGGAACGGCGCACAGAGCCTGCAGTGTGTGAACGGGCCAATTTGGCTGAGCCCAGAACAAATTATCCGTCTTTCTCAGTCCTCCCGGTCTCTCTTTGTGAGTGTTCGATCCATTCTCGATATGATTTCACTTACAATTCTCTTCATGTGTTTGTTCTGAGAAACAAAGCGCTCGGTCAATGGTGTATTGTTGGTGTTGGCTAAGTGTGTGCGTGTGTTTTACAGGCTTTATAATGTTATTGTTTAGCCTTATTGTGATCAGTAAAGGAGCACTGTAGCCGGATGAGACAGAAGATATTGAAAGAACAGCTAAATATAGAAAGCTGTACCGGTCAATGGGGGAGAAATGTGTATTTATATTTCCTGCTATTGTAAAACAAACCTTGAAAATCTTGGCTTTTTTCAAGTCTGTGAATTTGTTGAGTAAATAAAGCCAGTTCTGGCTGAATGGGAGGGGGAAAAAAGAGTGTTGATAGAAGAAAGGAAGAAAAAAAATGGAAGCACACAAAGGGGATCAGACAAAAAGTGCAAAATGGATAAAAAAGAACAACAAGATGGTCTGCAATCTGACAGAGTTAATCAATAACCCAGTCCAAGAACAAATGTTGGCGGAAAAAAAAAATCTCACCTAAAGATTTGTCCAAAAACTTAATTATAGGCCTGAACCTTAACCACACATAAAAACATTTTAAACAAACCTTGATTGTTCCTTCTTCCAAAACACTCATCAAGCCCTTACACCAGACTTAGCATTAGATGAAGTCCCAAAGAAAATCTGACAGGATGGCAATTACTGTGCTCTTAACATGGCATTGTGGGCAGCTAGGATTGGTAGATGCCATGTTGAGCTCTGGTGCTGGGTATTTGTCACTGTGGGCTCCCCATCTGCTGCTTCTGCCTAAAGATAAAGAGGTGGAGGGCTATTCTTCTTTCACTCTGCAGCATATTGTTGTTGATTTGAGAGGCTGAAATTCAAAGGTAATGGAACGCTGTCTAGTTTTTGTGAATTATACCGTCTATAAAATGTATTGTAAAGCTACACCAGGGCAATAGGAAATTTAACCACAGAAGATATTAATCTTGGTTGGATAGCATTGAAGAGTTTTAAAATACAGAACTGATTGATTTGCTTTGATAATAGTTTAGATTTAACATTCAAGCTATCTTAAACTGTTTTGACAGACCTGTAAAAGCACATTTTTCTTGTTTTTAGACACCACAAATTTGGAAAATACAAGAATAGTATATGTTATTTACTTATTGTTGCCTTTTTTTGCTTTTATACGATAGGAAAGCTGATGAGAGACGGATAATGTTGGGAAGTAAGAGGAGGAATGAAGTGAGCCAAATGGTGAAAGTCCGGGAGTTGAACCAGCCAACTGAGTGAGGAGACCTTTGACTCTATATATGGGGCGCCTGCTCTGCTGACTGAGCTAGACAAGTTCCCCCTTTTTTTCCACAAAAAGAGAGACAGAAAGGCATGCAGAGTACACAATTAAAATGTCGAAGTGTTGATTGTAATTCATTCTATACCAGTATTAGATCAATGGGTCACTTTGGAGGTGCCACAGATTCAGGGCAAATAAGTATTTCGGTTAAGAAATAGGATATTAGACAGATTTAACATAACTTATAGCATAAACCATAGACTGTAAATCATAGTATACACCTCTTTAAAATCCTATCTTAAAACTGAATGCAAATCGATGAACATGGCATGTGTTTCAGCAGGATGAGACCCAATTAATGATGAATTAATGATTCTAATTTTACATGTTTAATGTGAAAGGAGCACATCAATATTACCTTTATGCTGATTAATTATGTATTAACTGCTGTTTCACAAGTGAAATGTAGAGCAAATGCTGTCCATTCACCACATGTTACGCTCATGAATCTAAAATACATTTGTCACAGGTGGAATTAGTCCCATGTGTAATGACTTATAGTATATTTGAAAACCTAATAAAACAGACAAATCTTTTTCCTATAAATAAATCCATATGAATGCATGAAAATAAATGTGAGCAGGAGGAACGAGGCAGAGATCGAGAGATAGCCAAAGACAGAAAGGGGAGAGGACGATGAAAGGATACTCTGAATGGACTTCTCGTTCCCATCTGATAGCAGAACTTCTTTCACGTCAGCACAAATGGCAACCTGAGAAACAGAGAGACAGGTAAAAGACAGAGAAATGAAACAACATGGAACAAAAGAACAAAAACCAAAAGCGCCCTTAGATGAAGCAAACATCTGAACGCACACACACAATAATGACATAACCATATCTACAAAGCTTCACTCTTGGCAGCCCGGCCCACCCCACCCTCTCTCTCTATTGCTCCCTCTCCTCGCTGCCATTTCCCCTCTCTATCTTCACCCCATTTTTATGTCTGCATTATTTTAATCATTCAATCAAATCAGTCAATACTTTTATCATTGTGGCTAGCGGTGGGGGCTGCTATCTTGCTATCACTCTGTTCAGTAATTGCATTGTGACAGGGGATGATGGCAAGCGCAGAGCCTTTTCATTTGACGCTGGGTGTTTATCAGGCCGAGCCATCACTCCGTTTGCCGCTGTCACTCTGCACTCGGCTCGCCGGGCCTGCCTGATGTCCTTCATATAACTTTGCGGAGAAGACTGAGAGAGACGAGGAGAAAGAGAGGGAGAGGGAGGGAGAGACGGGAGAATGGATAGACAGCTCTGTGCTGCGCCGTGTGTCTCTGTGTTAGGGAGATATAGATAGAGAGGTGTGTGCTTTACTATAACCTCATCTTTTCACATTTCCTTTTCTTTGCAGATGCTTTTTTATATCAGCAAGTGTGTGTCAGGCTGTCAATTTCTGTTAAGGAGGATGTGTGCGCGTGCATATACCCACGGGTGAGTGTAGGTGCGAGTAGCTATTGTGTTGGTATGCACATATATAAGGTGAGGCCGGCTGATTCTGGCATATAAAAACGCCCAGGCTGTAGCATATCAAGTGTATGAAAATTCCAGGAAAAAAACGATGTATACATATACGCACACATGCATGACACACAGAAAAGCATGCAGACACACACATGTTAAGGCCCTGCAGGGTGTGTGAAGGGGGTCACTGAGTGCTGTGTGACCCACCATCTGCTCAAAGAGAGGACGGGACCTGCAGGCTGAACCAGAGCATCCAGCTGAAAGATCAGGGGCCCAATCTTGCAACCCATGACCATACGCCACCCGCCACCGCCATCATACACACATGCAGAGTAAAGCCTATGTCATATTTTTATATTTATACCTTAGCCAGACTGAAATGAATACTGGTGTCTCTTTTATTTTAAAAGTCTGTAAAAACTGCAGTGGGGTAGGCCTCATTGCTTTATTACAAAGACTCAACTTTGAATCCGGTGTAACCAGTGTTTAGCCAGAAGGGGCTTCCTTTTCTGTGTGTTATCCTCAATCCAACTAGTTGATATCTATTTATAGAGTTCAGTTAAAGTTACATATTTACTAGATGACCCAATGGCCTTTTTTTAGCTCTCCATACTGTTTCCCTGCACTGCTGACTGAAATCCTAGTAGGTGATCCTACTCAGTCTACAAATTAGAATCAAAATGTCAGAGATGTCAACTTTAACTTTAACCAAAGTACAGGGACACAGGGGGGATACAGGGGGTAACTTGTGATTCTGAAGTGGCTGATTCATAAGCTTTAAGGTTTGCTAAAGTTTAGAATGATGCTACAGATATTAAAGGTGATGTATCGTCTTGCATTTGTGAAATGTTCTGAAGTTAATGCCTGTGACGATGAAGTCAAGATTGTCGTCATGAAGACAGGGAATTAAATGAAATACTACATATGACGCGTGAGATGCGTGTAAGAAAATTAAATCAGAATTTTGTATAGTACTGAAGATGAAGAATGACATAAAGCAGGGAGGTTGGGAGGAAGTTATATATGTCTATTTAAAGTTAGAATTATTGAACTGTTCACATGGGAAACAGAAAAAAAA